AGCATCATGCTCTCCAGTTGCTCATTCTCTTATCTCAAGTGTCATTTACTAGAATCTCTCTACCTTTTGCCTCCTGTAAAATGTAAACTGAATTACAGGCATATAATTAAATCAACATATTAAGTGTGTAAGGAATGAGAGGCAGTGGGGATTTTGATGGCCATGTTACAATATTAAAATCTATGATATCAGGTATCTAAGGTATTTTCTAGTGTATTGAGAGCACTGGTTGTGTAAAAAAAATTTCCAGCTGAGATAAAATGTGTTTCTGTGCTAGGTCAGCACAACAGGCTATCATTTCCCCTCACCTGGCAGAGCTGCTGCTCCATAAACTGTGTGGCTGCTAGTTAAAAGACTCGGATGTGCAGTATTACTGCTCATCGGGGATGGGGAGATTTGAATAATTGCTAAATACTTGTGAAGGTTTGACTGGAAAAAATGTGACAATTTCAGGTACTCTACGTTTGCTTTTGCCTGTAATCCCTGTCCAAGTCACTCTGTTGCATCTGGCATGCTTTATACTTAAAATTACCTTGGTGTCTGAGACCGATTTTCTGCCTGATTTTTTGTGCCTCAACATTGTGCATATAGTATTGGTGCTTGCATTATCTATAGATGTAGAGCACTGAATTCTCAGAGCTGAGACTTTTTATTTATATTTAGTTTGCATTATGCATAGCAACTGAAGGTCCTGTTATATTGCCATAACCCAAAATTGGAACACAAAATAAAAATGAAAAAACATAAAACAAAATATAGCACAGGAGGTATGACCAGAAGCAGGATTAATCTCTGTAATGTAAATACTATTCCCTCTAACCTTGGATTTCTGAATAGGTGTTTGATGTCAGTTTGCCATAAAGACTGGGAACAGCAGACTAGTGTGGGATGGAGTCAAATTTGGGTGCAACATGAGGGGTGCCCCTTGTAATTGGATGGATTTGTGTAGCGTATGCCTCAAGGCCAGCTGCTGGCTATTTCAGATTTGTCCCTCTGGAATCCTCTCTGGCAGTCTTGTTCCGCTTGTAGCACTTGATACCAATACACGCCTTCCCACCCAGTCTGGTTATCTTTGGTGGCTCTGTATTGAACTTTCCCAGCTGGGATATTGGTTTTTTTATTCTATCAGTAGAGCAAAAGGTAGGAGGGAAGCAGGGGAAGGGATATCTGAAAGTGGCATTTGCTTCTGTTTTAAATAAAAGTTAACATTTTTTTTTTGCAGCAGAGAGACACTGTAGAAGAGACAGGAGGACATACTAGGGACAGCTTTTGAAAATACTGCTTGTATTCCACTCTTGTTCAGGGTTTTGACTCCTAGAACATATTCAAAGTTCATTACCATTTTACAGTTTAAAAGTCCAGGTGGAAATAACCAGTATCTCAGTTGCATAGTGGTTCTTGAGGTTTAGGACTAGACACACACTCACACAAAAATACGGTCTAATGGACTAGGACGTTCTCTAGCCAGCCTCTATATCCCCTGCATTCCCCTTTAGTCTGTATAATAAAGATACTGTTTTGTGAAAGGTGGTCTCGGAGTATGCTTCTCCTGGAAAGGTCAGTGTTGCTCTCATCTGCCACAGTTACGGCATTTCTGTCTTGCTTCAGTTCCTTCAGTCAGGCAGCTGTAGGGTGCATTTGATCAGCTCATAAATCTGACCGACTGATAGTAATTTTTTTTGTGGACTAGTTATTTGCATTGGTGTGCTATGAAGAGCCAGGGATATGGGTCCACTTTTTTTGCTGGTAGCCACTAACATTGGTTTATGCTCCTTTTGGAGCTGTACCCTGAAGCTGTTAACCCTCCTCTGTAATATGCTTTTGGGTAACTGACATTACATTGCAGATGAGTACACGACAAGCTGCAGTTTCTTCTCCTATAAACTATCTCATTGCAGTATAATAACGGTGCATGTGTGAGTCGTGACGTCCTCTTACGCAGGGGTTTTCAGGCTCAGCTGACTGTCATCTACAGGAGTAACATCAGCTCTGAGCCAAGCTAGCATGGCCATAGATGGAAACATACTTCCGTTCTGTCCTTCTCTGTCTTCTCTCATATGTGCTCTCTTTTGGGCCTAACCCCATAGGACCAATTACTGCTTCCTTATTTCCTGGGACCTTAAACTTGTGTTTCCATCTGTGCTTTGTAACCCCAGAAATCAGGCGTTGCGTGAGGTTAATCACAAACACTAAACCTGTGCTGCCATACGTCGCCCTGCGATGCCTCTGCTCCCGAGCAAGGCTGAGCAGCAGAAGCTGCCTGTACACAAAACAGTGTCTGACCCAGTCAAAAGACATTAACTGGCTTGGCAGGGGAGCTGGCCCCACTGTGTCAGGTGAGAACCAACAAGATGCCATCAGGAGTTGCCATCAGGTACTAACTTGGAAGTTGGTTTTGAGATTCACTGCTTTGGCAGTTGATCTTCAGAGACAGTACAGATCTTTTATTACCTTAATCCAAATGTGCTTTTTCTTGATTTATGGGGAAGGGATTTACACAGTAAAGGAAGGTGGCTTCTAGTACCATCTTCCCATTTCCATATTTTATCTAACAGTTGCTTCAGTTGTTTGAAGTATGTGGGTTTGTTACTCTGGATCATGGATATGAATAGATGCCAGTAGCATGAGGCCTTATCAGCTGTGAGCAGCTGTATTTGCCTTTTCATTTTAAATCTAGGCACCTAAAGTGCAGATGAACAACAAACCTCGGTTTTCCGGTAGGTAAAACTTCTAAACTGTTGCTTCTGGACTTAAAGTAAACTAGCATTACCCTTTTTGGGGAAGGCTGTGACTTACGTGTTGGAGCTCACAGTTAAGGTTCAGGGTGGTGAGTATTAAGGTCTGTAATGATTTGGTTTTGAAATGCTATGTATGTATTGGCAGTCATGCTTAACTAAGTATATTACTTGCATATAATGGACAGCCTAGAGAGTCAAGACCAATTTCCTTGCAAGTATCATCTTTATAATTTTTGCAGAAGTGGCTCTTGGGGAATGCCTGAGGGTGCTGGGAAGGGAAGAGGAATACACATGGGCAAAACTTTAGAGGACAGGATTTCAAACACTATATGGGGGATGTTGCAAATAGCCTTTGTAAGCATGATAGGTTAATTTTTGACCTCTGAGTTACTGTGTAGGCACTGAAATTGGCCTTTTTCTTCTATTTAATTTTTACAGCTAATGTTTTATTTTCCATGGGTACATTATTCAGGTAAGAAGTTATCCATACAGAAATCCCAGTCTCAGACTTGGAAGCAGTACACAGGTTTTTGCATGGCTCAGACCCTGAGGTAATTCACATGCTGAGCACAGTTTTGTTCAGAGCCACTGCTGATGCCTCTGGTTTGTGCTTCTGGAACACAGGGTGCTGCGAAGCGGCTTTGGAGAAGCTGGAGGAGCATTCAGGAGCCAGCTGGGGTCTACGACTTGCAGATTTGGGCTGAAGCTCTGGCTCTTAGGGCTGTGGGGCTGATGATTGCTGGAGTTCCAGGAGGGATAACTGGTGAAAGAGTTCCATATTACAGGTACTCTGATCCCTTCTGCTTTGAGAGATTTGTCAGATGGGGTTTCTTACAGGGCTGCCTCTGTACCCCAGCTAAGAGTCTTCCCAGAGCCTGGGGCGCTGCAAAATGCAGTGCAAAGATGCTGGGCTTCTGCCTCTGTGCAGCAGCCTTTGCGTGCTCGGGGTTTTCTGTTATCTGGCCATTCCCATCCCCCACTATCCTGGAAAATGGAAAGCTGACTTAGTTTGTTAATGCTTGCTTGAAAGCTGTATCAAGTGGTGTCTGACCAAGCTAAGAATAAAGTGTTTAGTTCAGATGTTTTCTCCCTGGGACGCTCGATGTTCAGAACGTTTATGGAAAAGATTGAGAGGGCAGATAATCCTGTACCTACCTCTGCTGCTAAATCCATCCCCCCTTGAATAATGGCTTTCTTACCTCAAACCGTGTACGTTTGTTTTAGGATCTTTTATCTCTGTAGTATAAAGGGCAAAGGTGCTTTTTTTATTTTCTGGTTCCAGGAAAGCCTGGAGGCCTGTGTGGTTTGTGTGTGCTAAGAAGTTGCATAGCAGAGGTATTTTATAAAACAAACAAACAAACAAAAAACCCCAACAAAACAACAAACCCAGCAAATTTTCTTCCGGTAAAAAGTGTCAGGTTTCTCCCCCTTACATATTACGTTGTCAAATTGTGAGAAGGTATCCAAAAGGAGGTGTGCGTGACTACACTGCTTACCATAATGTAACCTCCCACGGGAGGCAGTGCTAATATTTGCTTGCATTTGCCCCTATGGGGTAGAAAAGTATTGTTCTGTCCTTGGGCTGTGGTAGTCTACAGAGAAGAAATTAACCCAGTTTGTTAGCTGTAAAATCTGTTGCCATCTTACATGGAAGTTTTTGTTTCCTGCACCCGGTTTTGCAACATTTGGTACGACGGGTCTTCAGTAGTGTCATGTCATGTTGTGCAAGACATGTCTGCTCACCTAGGAGAGCACCTCGCTCTGCACTGTTTTTATCCTTTCAGCTGGAATCCCTTGGTCTTCCTAGTCCTTGGTATAGCTTTTCTGCTTAACAGGTACAACGATGTGTAACAGACTGAGCAACAGCACATGGCTGAGCCTCCTCTCTCTTTCAGGAGCTTGTGACCAGAGGCTGGTCAAAGGAATGCTCGATAATTCTTATTAACCCAGGAAGAAGGAGGAAAATAAAAAAATCTGGCTGAAAAAGATAAGACCAGTATGCGTAACTTACAGTTCTTCTTTAATATTTTTATTTTATTTGCAACTTTGGGTAATTTCTAGTCAGTTCACTTATTCCCTGTTCCTGGCTGAAGGAATCACTAAAATCAGCTCTACTTTAATTTCCTGAGCTGAAAACTGCAGTAGTTCAGGTACTGAAGTGAATCGGACACCCTGGCTGGAGAATGTATGCAGTCTGGAAAATATTACTGCCTTACACTGTCAGGTACACATATTTATATAAAACTTCTTCTCTCTCCTCAGGTTCATGGTGTTTTCACTAAGTCTACATTTGGTACAGCACAGCAGTTTCTCAGACTGCACATACGCTTCTTGAGGTAAGGAAGAATTGATATAAAAGATAATTTTGGTTTGGGTAGCATGGTAAACAGACATTGGGAGCGGATTCGTATTTTGTGGGTCTTTGGTTTGATATGTTGATAAAACTCATAAGAAACAAATCTTTGGTGATTTGGGACATTAATCTATGTCTACATTATTATAATTCAATACTTTATGCTTTCTTGATTGTGTTACTTATGAAATGCCATAAAGTATAAGTGGTCAACTGAAGCTGAGTAGTGACTCTTCGGGTTTTCAGGCCTGTATACTCCTTGAGGTGAGATTTCATCCCCTACCCCCCCTTATCGCCCCCTTGGTATTGGCACTGAGTTAAAAAAGTGTTAGAATCTGCGCTGGGTATTTAGTCTATAGTGCTGTATAATGATATTATATATAGTGACATACATCAACATCTATGTATGTTTACAGATGGAAAGACTTAGATGCAGAACGAAAATTAAGAGTTGACTTGTCTGGCTCTTGGGCAAAATCTCCTGGGTAGGAAAGGATGTAATGTGATCATGTGTGGTGTGGCTATTAGTATGTTAGGTCTAAGGTTATTCTAGGTTATTCTTTTTAGCTTTTCTGTTTTGTCCAATATGCTCTTCAAAGATCGACTTTTTGTACCACAATTATTCAAGGAGTGGGGGTATGAAGACGAAGCAGTAACCTTCTCCAGAGTGCACTGGTAGTTATTTTTGGTGCTAGCTTGCTGTACTTTCAAAAGCAGAAATATTCATTTTGCTTCAAGTGACTTTGTCCTTCAGAGCTCAATGGGATGATGATGCACAAGATTAGGAGCTGTCAGAAGTTCCATCCTGTGGGTTGCTTTGATGTTAGAAGCTGGAGCCAACTCTAGAGTGTCAGAACAATAGATTTAATTTCTCATCATCACCTTCTGGGAGCAGTGGTAGTAAGAGATTATGACTTGTTGTCTCCTAAGTATTCCCTCAAACATGTATCCCTGCTAGCTCCTTATCAGCTGCTGTGCTGGGCTCTCTCTGGCACCAGAAAGCATGCATCTTCCAGCCCTTTGGGAAGTGCCCATTTCATGTTTCTGTGTGTCTCTGCAGTTAATAAAATTGTTTTGAAACGGGGAATTTAGAAAGTAAGAAGGGTCACGCTTCTGGGTTTGGTTTATGTGAAACTCTTTGTGTTTAATGGGTCACCTGTTTCTGGGCTGGGGCTGGTCACTGCAATGTGGTCCTCATAACACAGTTTTGCATCACCTGGGACAGGCATTGCAGAGCAAACTGTGATTCAGCTGATATGGTAAGCAGGACTGGGGTATCTATGTTAAATTTCAAAATTTTGTGTTAAACCTGATGTCACTTTTCAGCAGGGATAGACTCTTTAATCTTCTTGTTATCGTGCTCTAGAGGAGTTACAGGGACAGGAACATCTGTGCTTGCTGTATAAGTAAGCCTGACTGCTGTTTCAGGAGCCAGTTTGTGCTTTTATCCAGTGTCTGTTAATAGCAGAGAGAGTGCAGGCCCTGCGCCTTCCTGCAGGAGGCTTTACAGGATGGCACTAGCTACTGGCATTGCAACATGTGGGCCTTGGGGCTCTATCACTTCCCATTGACTTGTGGACGCTTCTGAGATCCAGAGCACTCCAGAAAAGTTAGGAGGCATGTTGGTTGCAAGTGAGGGAAAGTCAGTAGTCAGCCAAACCCTAAGCTTGGTAGGTGGGCATAGATAGATGACTGAAGAGGTTGAATCATGGCTTTAGTGAATAGATATGGAATGGATATTTTGCCTCTGAGCGTATCTTGGAGATCCTCCAGCTTCAACCTTCCTACAGATTTGCTGTGTTGAGAGAAAGGGGGTATGATTTCTCTTTACTATCTCCCTCTTTGTTTCTGTACTCCTTCCTTTCTTTTTGTTTATGATTGTTCTTTAAAGAAAAAACATAACCCCCACCCTTACAGATTTTCATAATTTTAACAAAACAAAAGGGAGGTGCATAGGAGCCTCATTCATCACCTTTTGTCACCAGACTTGATTTGACATCTGAGACTACAGAGAAACTTTGGCAAGTGCAGTGATTTCCCGTGTGGGGGTAATAAGAGAGAAAAAAGCTGTCAGTTAAAAAGCAGCAGGAGCTGCATTAGCAAATATAAATTAAACAGATGGCTAAGATACTGCAGCTGTCGCATAGAAGCTCCAGGAAGATCCTTAGCTTAGAGCTGCAGGAGGCTATTTTAGAAGGAAAGACGAAAACAACAACTTTAAAGCAAACTTTAGCATGACGAAAGAAACAATACAGCCATTCAGATGATTATATGAAACTTACCCAGAACTGATTTTTTTTTTCTTCACCTTTTCAAATCTTAGGACTCTAAAATTAATTTAGGATCAGGTATTATAAGATCACATTACAGATTTTCATATCATGGGTTTGTCTGCAGGTTTAGAGGTACTCTTCTGTACTTCTGTGTGAGACACTGGCTCTGACATGCTCTGGAAAGCGGAGAGACGTGTGATACGCATTGCGCAATTTTGATCTTCAACTGCTTGTTTTAGAGCTGTTTCAAGAAAAACTTCTAATGAAAAAATTGTTTATAAATAAAATGTTTGTGGAAAAGCAGTGTTAAAACTGCTAACATTTTGGTGGAGGAAACACCTGCATTTAAAGTGTCTTGCGTGTTCAGTCTTAAGGTAACATTTTTTAGACTAATTTTCAGCTGGAAGGTGACTGTTCTTTTCCTTTTTGAAAGAAGTGATAAACCTGCATCCAACTATGTTCGTTATGTTAAAATATGGACATATGTTAAAATGAGGACAAATTGGAATATCAGTGCTATTTCTCAGAGGCCAAAAGGCAATTAATTTTCTAAACATTGTGTCCATAATGTATTTTCCTTAATTAGGACTGATTGTTTGTCACAGATACCTTGTGTGTAAGCAGAGACTGTTCTGCTGCCTTTATAGTTAGGTGAAGATGTGAATTATGAAATAGGTGCAGCTGCATTTGAAGCCTGTGTTTTACATTCAAAGAAATAGTGTGCGTAAATGGACTCCTAGACAGGCTGATTGATTTCCCAGAGTTCTGCTTTGTCTGTTTGCTTTTTTTACTGCAAAATTTTCACGTGTTTATGGTTGACTTTTTAAATGATACTTAATATGCAAGGATTTCTGGATTTTGATTGTACTACAGCCCTTTGGGCAAAATTAGTATATCTTCAATTCTGCATATTTTTTCCAAATTGTGTTATTCCTTTGCAATAAATACCTTCAGGTGCAATTAGATCTAATTCTAAAATTCATCTATACAGATGATTTGAGAACTACAAAACCTACATATAAAAAAAATTAAATCTTCTGTTTCTCTGTATTTATCCTTCTTCCCGTCATCCCCATGAAGTTTGAGTACATAAGCCCTAGCATGCTCTGAAAGTCAGTGAACCTCCATTCGCTTAGAACTACGAAGCTCATCATTGAGATGTGAGTGCTCTTTACTGGCTGAATCTTTAACTGTCATAGACTTTTTCCTGATCCTAGTTGTTCAAGACACAAATCATGAAGGGCATCAGAGGTCAAACAGCTTGAGCTTGTTTGTGTGAGCTTCCTGAGAACATGTAGCCTCAGTCTTCCCATACTGTTCAGGGTGCTTCAGCTGTCTGTCCAAGTAGAAGTGAGCTCCTCATCACTTAACTGTGCATTTCTTGTGTGGTTGCAGCTTTGTGCTTCGCTGTAGAACAGAACAGTGATCATGCTGAGTAACTTGTTTCCACCCTTTAAATTTCATTTCTACCCCTGCTCTTTGTAGCAGTTATAAATTCCAGAAAACTAAGAGGGAAAAAGCCTCACCCTGAGTGTATGCCTTTTCTTCCATTTTTGCTTGAGAGAAAAAAGTCAGCCTTGAAGTGTACTTGAACTTGAGAATGATAAATGTGGGATATCTTTGTCAGTGATGGAGGGATGTTTCAAAGCTAGGTGACCTTCCACTGGGAAGCCTGGCCTCAGCCTCCACATATTTGCTCCTAGACTTTCGCTCCAAATGCCTTAGCTAAAATTCACTGCTATGACATGCTCAGCAAGGGAGCAGTTTTGTGTAGGCAGGACCCAGGGCATGCAGAAAGGTTATGCACTGAACCCTGTAAAATTCCCTCTGAGCTCTCTTCCTGGGAAGAAACCAAGGGATCAGTCAGCGTCATCAGATGCTAAAGAGAGATGGCAGTTAAGAAGGGATGGGAAGGAGTTAAAACAGAGGAGTGGAATGGGAAGAAACAGAGGGCCAAGATAGCCTTGCCATTAAAGGTGGTTAACCTTCAATTTTCCTGCTGGGTATCGCAAAGGCAAGAATTAACTTTTCCAGCTAGAAATGCAGTTACTGTCTAATGGCCATATTCTGTCCTTGATCTTCATGCAAACCTTCTGTTGATGCCAATGGAAGATGCTGTGGAAGATGGAGGCATTGCATGGTTGCTACACTGTAGGTACAGCAAATTGAGTGCTGTCTGGCTTATGGTACAGAGCTAGTGGGGAAAATGTCTTTATAGTTTTTGAAAGAAGGCTGTGACATAAATTTTCGTGTCATATGAATTGCTAATAACTAACTTATTGATTAGGAACAGCTGCTTACATGCAAAATGTATGCTAGTGGAAAAAAGAAACATAATCCAGCTTTTTTTTTAATGCTCTAATGACAAGAAAGTGCTTCTTAACTGGAAGCAAGAAAGCCTAGCCTTTTGGTACTATAGCTTAGCCAATCTGCAAAAAGATTTCAGGTATTTTGGCTCTCATTTGAACCTTGTTCTTTTTAAGCCTAGTCCAGAACTGTCAAATCCAGTTTTTAGGTTAGTGCTGTTCTTCATGCTATATAGACAGGTACATCAGTGACTGAGAGAACATTTAGCAATTCTAAATTACTGCTTATTATTATGTTTAACATTTTGGGGTCACATAAATAATTCTTATGTGTAACAAAACAGTGCATAAAGTAGTCCTGGTATGTGGGCTGTGTATTCTGCAGTGCTATGTCAGTAAATAAT